GTAAAAACTAAGTTTTAACTGCTGTTTTATGCATAAAACAAAAAAGGAATATTTAAATAGAATCATTTATATCATCTGTAATTTTCAGGTATCGTTCATTCCTCAGTTTTCCCCATAGCTTTCTTAGTTCTAGAACTGCCTAATCCATCCAATATAATCGCCATTTAATGAAATCCCTACCCTTCCTATTATCAAACAATTTCAGAACAGTCTTCTCACGTGAGGATCCACGGATGCCCACTGGTGAGGCCCATGTGTGCTGTAACCCGAGACCATGTGCCAGCGCCCCCCACAGTGTCAGCGGGCATTGCAGGTAAAGACAATGGCAGCTCTGGGAGCGCCGGTGCCTGCTGGCGCCAACATTGCTCGCCTTCACATCTGGCACAAGTATCAGAACGGCAAAAAAACGGAATTAAAAAAAATGACTTTCCCTCCGCAGTGCAGGCTCTACCGGAGACAGGGCCCCGCAGAGGGTGATTATGGTAATGTATGGAAATTGTAACATTTCTAAGGAAGGTGTGGGATGGGAAACAGCCACACGAGGAGAAGCAGAGGCAGCCGAAGCTATCACAGTCATTTACACCTCCGCTTCGAGCGGCTTTCCTGTCCACAGAGGCACTTAATGACCTACTGTTACTCTTAACAGATGAGTACGACTGTTTTCCCCCCCATTTAATTGAATGCCTTTGAATACAGGGGTGCACATCAGGGTGTATGAGAAATCAAATGGCTGAGGTCAAACCATATTTTCCCAGTATTACATTATACCAGCTTTTCATGCAACAATAGAGTTGTGGTCTTAATATTGAAATTAATGCAGGTCTTGAAAACGTACAAGAGTAGAGTTAAGACTATTTTACAGTATATCAGATCCAACGCTCTGTCATTGAGCTGCCTTCTGACCTAGATAGGGCACTGAGCATACTAACCCACATCACCAAAAGATTGTCTGCCCAGCAATGTGCATCAGCCTATCCATGTGGGCTTTCTCCAAGCCCTCAATGAGCTACAGTATAGCGCTTGGCTTCTCCAGCCTGTCAGCAAGACACGGCTGTCTCATCGGCTAGCCGCATCATAAAAGATTTCTGTTCCTAATTTTAACTCTAAACCTCGTCATGAACTGATATTTAAAATCCGATGATTTGGATACATTCATAAGCAATTTTCATACTGTTTTAAATTTTGCAAACAGTGATACTGAGGACAGATTTTCACAAGGATGATTATTAAAGATAAACTAAGAGACATTAAAATGTAAGTTAATTCTAATACTCATTAGTTGCACTTTTAAAGCTATTTTGTATATTTAATAAAATCTTCCTCTTTGGTAATAATATCTAGTTAGGGCTTTTCAAACCGCTGAGTCAGAAGTGACTTGATAGCTTCAGTACCATTGCAACCTAAGACAGAAACAGAGCAGAAGGACAGTACAACAGTCTGGAAGTACGATAACCAATTACAAGGCACATTTCTCCCAGTTCATGGCTGCAGGGGCTCATACTGAAATGGAATCACTTCTCTGATGTGCAGCAGAGATTTCTCTGATCATCACACAGTAGCTGAATTAAACAACGGCTTTAATCCCAGCAGGTCTCAATCAGCTGTAATCTTGGACTACCGTAATGTTATTTCTAGGAAAGTCCTTCAAAGAAAAATAAACCAAGGGTGGGAAAAATTATTTCATACCATCTTAGGACCCATATGTTGCACACTGCAATTATTCTGTGCTGTTTTGGGAATGGTAGCAATCTAGACTAGGCAAAAAAAAAATAAGCTTGTTTGAAAGTCACTGGCTCAAACTTTCATTTACAAGAAATCTGTGGTCATGCACCATGCCTACACTGCACCACACAGATCAATAGAAGACCTAATTTTGAGGGTTTGTACATGATCATACACTATTGTTTAGAAACTGCAGCTTGCATTCCTGTTTTATACAGTACATCTGAGGAATCAGGCAGCAAGCAATGTTGTGAAATATTTGCTCAGCACCCTACAATTTATCAAAGTAGTACATTCTACGTGTAATAAGAAACAAAACTCAAAAACAACATTGTTTCTACTGGCCTCAGAGTGGTAGATGAACTGATGCTGAGCTGTTCCAGGACTCGACTGTTTACGATCAATGAAGAAAAAACACTTTCATGTAAATTCGACACTACGTAAGCAACAGCAAAATCCTCATTCAGAACCTGGACCCACTCTAGAGAATTATTTGGGTTTATTTAGCCTTATTCCTGAAACACATTAATACTGCTTAGTTGCTGTTCATAGCCACAAGATATATGTTATTATGTAATTGAGATATGCATTACCCACTGAACATAAGCAACAACATTCAAGAGAAAAAATAATGTAGAAAACAGCAGTCCCAGATTCAAAAATGGACAAAAAAAAATCAAGAAAATAAGAATATTTGATAGGCTGGAGCTTTTATTCAGTAAATGCATTTGCTTAATGTAATTTGAAGCATGAATCCAGATCCGTCTGGGATTTGTTGTACCCACACATATCGAGGTCAAATTGAAGAAAGCCTTATGGCCATACCGCACGCCTACATTTCAGTGTGGACTCTAGGCTAGAAAAAGCCAATTCAGCTGCACAAAGCATTTCCAATGAAAGGACTGTCGATTCTCCAAGCTTCTGATCTTCCAGCCGGCTGCCTATTCACTTCCCGACAACAGCAATTTCTACTGGCACAGCACCTTTCATACGACAGAATCTGAATCAATGCCGTTTTCTTGTCAAAAGCCACACAGGGCAACAACACATAAACCTTTAACATCAACAGGCTAGCTGAGAATAATCTTTCATTCGGCAGGAGTGACCAAGACAAGATATAACATTAAGTAAAACATTTTTAATTCACTTTCAAAGCTATTCAGGTCATGAAAAAAAAAAAAGATCTGAATAACCTGACAGTTGTCTATAGACATTTAGGCAAAAGAGACATTTTCTAACACGAAGAGCACGTTTAACTTTACCTTGCTATCTTTTTATAGTACTACAGTATTTCTCTTACTAATGCCCAGTCTTCATAGTCTATACCAAAATGCTCATAAAGGCACCTTAAGTCCAGAAGAAATTTCACACAGCACCAGAAAGTTCCACTAAAGCAGACACAAATGTCTGCCAGTTGTTTTTTTCCCCAAGCCATGACAAGACACTGTTTTAGACAGAAATACTTTCATCAGCATAAATGTTTGATAAGGAGCATTTATAATTCCTTTCCCTGCAGTAAGCCATTTTAAAACTCTTATTTCACAAAGATCAAGACAAGCCCACATTATATATTTTGTGCGAAGCCCGTTTTGAAAATATTTCTAAATCATTTACAGTACATGGTGCCCTATGCTTACCAACAGAACCTACCTAAATTATTTCTTCATCGGACCTCCTTCCTGCTCTCTCTGTTCATATGCAAATATTGCAAACTACTCTGTCTCCCAAAACAGTATTTTAATCGAAACAGCAATACAGCAAGAACATGAAATAATAGCAAGCTGACTTTAACCCTAGAGCCTGTTTTCTCATTTGAGACTTTCATAAACAACCAAACAGCCTTGAACCCAAGTAATTTCAGATGCACTATCCATTCTGCAGAATGCTAAAAAAGATCTCTGCTAGCAGATTGATTTAAAAAAAAATGAATAAGAATATATCTCAGAATAGTTGAAAGGGCTGGGACAGTACTTCATCATGTCATCCATCAAACAACTGAAATGTTTTCAGTATGAATAAATACAAAAAACAGCAAAGTGTGCATGTACAATAAAAAATTATGTGTAAGCAACATCTGGAGTTCTGAATAACCAGAAGAACTGGAAGCCAGAGACCACTGACACACAATTACACAAGGCTGACTTTTTGATTTTATATACATGGCTAGCCTAATGGAAGTTACCCTTCTTTTTTAATTTAATAACTCTTAATTCCTTACAGATATTCAATTCCACTTCGGACAACAGAGATGCACATATCTCATTTCAGTCTATGATACACAGTACAAGCAGTTTTTTGTAGCTACTGTATGTGAAGGGAATATTAATTCCCAGAATTGCTGGCAGATTCCAGATGGTTTTAATGTATCTGGGAGATTAGTTGAGAGTTTATTAAATTAACACGGAGCCCACTCATCTCTGCAATCAGGTCTAACATTCCACCTTTGTCAAACAGGAATTTGCACACATGCAAACTTTGGGGATCGGAATCAAGCTCCCGATTTCATTAAGACGAGATCCATAGTGAAAATTACAGAATTGACAGGAAATTGATTTTGATGTCTTGCAGCAACAGTATGTTTTAAAAAGAAATACGTAAAGGTTTTGGCTGTGCAGCCTCCTTTAAGTGTCACACTTTACCACACATGAAACTCTTTTTCTCTTCAGCATGGAATAAACCTTTATTTGTTCCTTTCCAGCCTACACATGAAGACACAGCTACTGTACCTACCTGAACGGTTTTAAAAAAGTATATACATTTGTTAAAAAATCAGGTTTTATTACAGCAATTGAACCCTGAAACCACATACTGTATGTCCACTGCCCACCTTGGCAGCCAGTTCAGCCAACACCCCTGCCAATCAACAGCTTCCTTCATTGAAGCGTCAGGAAATGGGACTGGCTTGTGACCAAGGACATTGTATCATATGAAACATTTGCACAACAAATTCCACAGACGTCAAATATTTCTTCTAAACTCTACAAATTAGGAGAGCCCACATTTTATTAGGCTTTAAATTGCACGTCAGACACAAAGTTGACCAATTTCTGTAAATAGTCGGCAGATTATAATAATTTAAAGGACTGTTAGTTTAGAAACAAAGCCATCATGCTAAGAACCTAAATCTAGCGTGCTACATTCTCAGATAGAAACCGGATGTTAGATAGGGCAGTGATAGCCTAAAGAAATGAGATATGAGGATGTGAGACTTCATTCCGCTGTAAAACACAGGTATCCCACACGCCATTAATGTGGTACAAAACCCAGTGCCAGCCTACCTCTCTCTGCTCACTGCAGATCTTGCACAGCCACAGCGATCTCTTCTGACTGCACAGAGTTTCTATCCCACACTTTGTGCACACTTTCTGAAAAGAGACAAAGAAGAGTAAAATGCAGCCAAACGGCCTCAGGACATGTGCTTCCCTGCCACTGGGACCTTTGTAGTTAATTGTGGTGGCTGTTCACCCATCTGCAGGAGAAGGATTTAAGTATCTGGCAAATACTGAAATGTGCATAATTAAAGCACGCCGCTCTGGCCTGATGTTACAGTATTGTTAAAGGTTTTAAACATTATAAATCAATCTTACTACCACAGCGATGGGCATCGAAGTTAGTATTAATTATGGTTTTCATAGACTGCCATGTAATAGAAGTAAGAGTTTATGGACTATTATTACAGGGTCCTGTTTCGTCACCCCTTGTGTGGATGAACCCTTCCATCAAGAGACCACTGGAAGAGCTTTTTGATTGGCCTATAAATAGCATCATGTTTCCACTGCTAAAATGCCATCGGCCCCTGGAGATTTGTTTATTGCCAATGTTATTTAATATTGTTATTATTTACATTGTCTTTCCTCAACCTGAGGCACATTGCCTTTCCCTTCCTTGGTAAACTTTCAAATTTACCATAATACCTCCGACATTTCCTTGCTTTCATCAAAGATTCCCAACTTCTTCCCTGGGGCACATCATTTCAGCATTTTATACTTGTTTATGCATCTCCTGGGCCAAGCAAAACCTCTGATGTTATATAGTACATATACTGTACACACACAAATGCACATCGCTTACATTAGATCATGCACACTCATTCTCATATGCATCCTCAGTGTTTGCCAGTTTTGCCACAAGAGCCAGAGGTGATGTGGCATTTCTATTGCACCTTATGCAAGCTTACAGAGCTGTCAGATGTGTCGGAGATGGCTTATCAAAGTTCACCTTCTTTTCAGAACATCTCACAATACCCAAATTTAAAGATGAAAACTTCACAAATGTAAAAAGGTCAACATCAGTCATGGAGAGCAATTTTTAAAAAAAGTAAAATATAGGAAGCTCAAAGCACTTTCAATAATCTTAAGCCTACGCTGCCCATGCACGAACATTTATACTTAAAAGCAGCCAAAAAAAAAGAAAAAAAACTTTAAAAGCAACAATTTACATAATTTACTTGAGTTCAGGATAACACTATAAAAAGGCAAAGGAAGTGACAGTCAATTGCCCTGCTGTAAATAAAAAATCATTAAAGTCTGAAGAAAGTAGTTGTAATTACCTCTTTGACTGCAGAGTGAGTTTTATATTTAGCCTGAAATACAGCACTACACTTCACTACAGCAATTCAGTCATTTCCCTGTTACTTCTAAGCACCCCACAGCAGGATCCTGTTGTAAATTGCCACAATTTCAACTGCTGTGCGACTCTGTCTCTAGTTTATGGAACATAGGTTTGCGGAATAACTCTTTGCTGCAATTCAATTCAAGGAATAATTTTAACAGCTAGAACAGTGATGCAGGATGAAAAGGGAGCTCTCCTGGACTGACGTTAACATAATATTCAGCGAGGGCCTCCTTATCAGAGTAAGACAATGGGAGAAGAAGCACTTCCTTAAATTTGAACTCACTAGAAATGTTGTAATATGCCCCCACCCAAATAGATGTGGAATCTTCATTTAAGATTTGGATTTACTGCATGGCTACATCTGCTGTAGTGCTGTTATGAGAATTATAAAGACATGCTCCACTGAAGACAGTCAGGTACAAACCCACAATGCTTTGCAGTAGAAGTAGTACAGTACATCTCTCAGTCACTGCAGGTTTGCAGGTGCCTGGCAGGTCCAAGGATTCACCACTTCACCAAGGCCCATAGGGAGTTGACACACGTTTATGTGGCTGTGTCCCGCCAGTCATGCTCAGCTGCTAGGGCAATCCTACAGGGGATTTGGGACAGCAGTGTGGAACGGCTGTTGATTTAAATCCCAGTTACTGTAGGTCAATGCTGTTGGACTCTTAAGCAAGGCACTTAACCCTAATTTGCTTCAGTACCTGTTTAAATAGGTGCAAAAGTAAGTCGCTTTGACAGTCAGCCAAATACTGTAAACCAGCAATCCCAGTCATGGTCAGCTAGTGACATGGCCCAGGCCCAAACCATGAGCAAAAACTCTACATTTAAAGTAAAACTGATCAATGAAACAAATACAGCAGCTGCTTGTGCAATAAGCATTAGTTACTTCCCCTAACAAAAAGTAAGAAAATATTTCAGAGTACCCCCTGAAATGTGTTTACTTAGAGCACTCTGAACTACAGTAAACTCAGTGGGAACTGGATGTAAGCTTACATCCTCAGTAATATTCGTATAGAACATTTTTTCTCAAACTGTCCATCCCTTACTCAGCACATGGGCAGTGTCACTGGTCTGTGCTGTGTCACAGCCTCTCCCTCACCACCTGTCAGCTGATCTAACAAGTCAGTCAGGACAACACTATACCATCAACTGTCCAGCCACTGTCCCTGTTCCACCTGCACAATAAACATTTAATGTTATTTCTTCAGTTAAAATTCCTCTACTTGATGTCTTTAATGGATATGTGTTGGAAACCCTAAGATTGATTCTTAGCTTTCATAAATCTTTAATTGCATTAAAGAAGTGCATTTTTCTTTAGATGAACAGTAGAATTTCACTTCCCTCTGTCCTTTTGTCAAAGAGAGTGCACTGCCCTCTGGAGGTAGCTATAAGGACAGCCAGAGAATAAATGGAACCACTCCGCTAGTTAGGATAGCTCCTGTGCTTAATTATTAATACTGTCAAGAATGCTAATAACCTCATTTTTTACCACATAACTTAATATAACTGGACACTACAATGCAAATTCTGCATGTTTGATACTTACAAAAAAACAGCTTTGGGGTTTTAAAGTAAGGATGACAGCACAGATTTTTCAACAAATATTTTTGAAAATCCACAGTTGCACTCATGGGTAAAACAATGGTGTGTTTTTGAAGCAGATTTGTCAAATAGATTTTGAACATCCTTTTTAAAGCGAAGCTTAATAACTTTTGTTTCAGACTGGCAATGAGCTGTTAGCCAGCGAGCTGTGGGAATGAAGGTAGAGAGGACACACAACTCAAGGACAGGTACAAACAAGAGGAGAATATTCTGTAGAATTCAGTTAAACTGTTACAACAGGTAGCACACCTGTTGTGTGACTCTGGCAGTGACAATGTATGAACGTGTGATGTTCTCAACATACTGTACATTCCGTGTTGGCATTTAAAAATATTTCAACACTGTGTCTGCCCTTTTGCATTCTATGATTAAAACTTTTGTGTTCTTGTTCTTAAATGTACAATTTATGAAAACATAAGAGGCTGATGAGGCAGTGCCTGGTTTATAAAATACACGTCGAAGTGATCGTGTTCTCATTCCTCAGCTGTAGAACACAATGTCTCTCTCTACTTGCTCTCTTGAAAGCCTTTCAGAAATAAACTTATGTCAAAACCACCCAGAAATGTGTAAGTAGCCACAACATGGCAAGGTAGCTGGTCCTGTAACCCTCAAGAGTATAAACACTGGTAGAGTTAGAGTTTAGATAATGAAAGATTCAAGTGCTTCTCTGCAGGTTACAGTAAATTCCTTGTTTCACACTATTGACTATTACAGTACATGTATTATACTAACATTTCAGACTCATTTAAAATAATATATCTTTAAAAAGAAGAGCCTGATATTTAAAATGCAGATTCCCTGGCTGTCAATCTTTCTTTGTTCTGCAGCAACTCTGCTTTTATTGCACACGTAGCCTCTGTGACTAACGTTAATCCGGTTGTCACAGGGCTTTGCTGCAACCTTCTGGCAAAGCCTGTGCACTGCAACCCTGTTTCTCTGCAAATGTCGATTCTCCAACCTATCTGAAGAATTTTGGAAGTATGTCATTGACACACACTGAAAGGAGCTTTAGAAGCAGCTCTGGAAATATATAGAATTTGAAAAAGTTATAGTTCTTAAAGGCTGCACTTTTTAATATAATCTGAGTTCAAAACAGTTTGTTTTCCTACAAATTAAAGAAGAGGTATGGTCATGAACTTCGGACAAGGTTACAGCATGCACTTAGCAGCACAAAGAAAACTAATGGAAATTGCAAGGCATAAGAAAAATGTTTAAGCTCTGCACAGATGTTTTTCAGCCTAAAAAAAATCAGTTAAACCAATCTTTCAAATGATTTTAAGTTTTCATTGCAATCTGTTCCTATATCCTGTTCCTATACAGCCATCCTGAGGCAGGTCTAAAAGTGACAAATCCGATGGACTAAGCTGTAAGCAATCTGTCTTCCCGTGTCTCCAGACTTTGTTCAAAACACAATGACTAATGACTACAGGAAGGTCCAGATTGTTTATCCAAATTCTAAATCACCAAGACACCTAAATATTTCATTGTCAGTTTAGCATGCTACTGTAAAAGTGCTAATTAATGCTACACTCTGGTTGAAAAAGAAGATACAAAGACTTGAATTTTATCAATCGCGATTCAATCTATATATTTTTCAGTATTATTTTTGAAGTTTTAATTCCGTATTGCATGTACATTATTAGTGGTTATTGATTTTATCAGATAGAATGAGAAATATTGTTTTAGTAAAACAACTTACATTTCAGTTCAAAATTAATGCCACAGCAGCCAGTAAACCTAAATTAGTTAAGCTAATTTTAGGTTTTAATATACAGTTTCACATGAAGATAAACTTCTAAACAAATCAAAGCACATTTAGTTTAGAATTAAATGGCCATTATACTGTATTGAAAGGCATTAAAAACGCAACAGACGATATTGGTTTTGATACTCATTTTGTTTTGGAAGGTCTCTCAGTATATTAAAAACTTTTTAAAGGCTGTGGAATAAATTCTTGTTGAGAATTTTTTAAAAAAGCTCAATGGCCAAAAAAAGACCGTTTCATTGCAGATTACAACAGCACCTTCTTTATTGGTAAAAAAGTCTTCATACCAAATTTGTAAACTATGAATTTTACAGTGCTGCATCCCACCCACCTGCAGCTAAATCTAACCCACACACTGTGATGGCAAATATCTACTTGGCCTTAAAGCAAAAAGAGAATAAGAGTAATACCTAACCAGTATAGGTGTTGGATAATGTCTATTATGCAGATATTGCTAAATGGAAATCAGGTCATATTCCTAGCCTGGATACTATAAGAGGTGGCACATAATTGACTGATTGCTACCAGGGGCAGGGGTGGGAATAGTGATTTATCAACACACAGTGACTCCAGTGACTTGACAGGTGCCTACAAATCAGTTAGAGACACACAGCTGCTCCAACCAGTGCTACTCCATGTCTTTTGCGAGGTGTCGTGGAGCTTACAATGTGTCAAATTAGAAATGCTGTGTCTGTACCTGTTCAAGTTAAAGGAGTATCTCTCCAGGTCTCATTCACTCCCAGGTGGGCGCTGGTGCTACTGGAAGTGAGCCGAGTCTTAAAATGACTGGAGATTCCAGACTGGGTGGGTAATAAAAAATTGAATAAAGATGGATGTGACGGGCTGTCAGCTCAGGATCGCCCGAGAGGGCAGAGCTATCAATAGTTACTGCCGTGACAGCCAACAGCTACTGGGGCTCCCTTCAGGAGGGGTGTGAGAAAGACACTCTGGGCTCTGCTAGACAGATGACAGTATCTTTAACTTTAACCAGCAGCACAGTTCTCTAACAGTTAAAGGAAAGAACCAGAAGAAGTCAAATCAGCCAACTACAAACAGCCTTGTTAGCGAGTTTGAACGAGAAAGGGCACCTCAGTGCAGGTTTATCTCACACCCTGGTGGGAGAGTGGTCATTCTTCCCCCACTGGCCTGAACCACTGGCTGAAGGGGCCGTAAGTGCTCTAAGAGGCCCTGAGGCTCTTGGCCCAGCTCGCTAGCCTGCTGTGTGGACCTACCTTGCGGCAGTCCTGGCAGAAGACAGAGGAGGTGCCCAGCAGCCCCAGCAGCTCCCCACACAGCAGGCACTGGGACAGGCCGTTCCCCATCGCACTCTTCCTCATGTTCTCCAGGCGCTCCACAAGCCTCCTGCGACACAGCAAACACGCTTTTACACAGGAGAGCCTGCGAGTTACAGTATGAATTCCCTGGGGAAGAGAGGTTATCTGCAGCTCTGAAAAATGTTCTACTGTTATTGCACAAATTGTTGCATCTGAAAATCTTTACAATAAACACCTAATAATGGAAAACAACCAGACTATCTTGGCACTTGCTTTTGCTTTTGCCATTGGTGCATGGCTGTGTACTACATTTCTCAGTTCTGAGCAAGAATTACCAGTCTTTCATCTCTGAGCATCCTCTTGAGGTATACAAAAGTGATGAGACTGTTACATGGCATTGCTCAGTTGTTTTATTAATTTTTTTGATATGGGAAACTAACAAATATTCTACATATGCTATAAATATGTCCAATGCACAGGACAAACAGACAATCATCTAACCTGTTGATAGATACTGTAAAACCAGGGAATGTAATAATAACTACATTTAATAACTGCGGTTATCTTATTTTACTATATCTGCAACACCTTTTGTGAAAATTGCCACGTTACAGATCAAAAGCATGATGCAACCACTTTCCATATTCTAGGAATGACGGCAGCCATCGCTGTCGACGCCCAGTAACCCTTGGCTCTCGTACCCGATCCTGCGCTGCTCCGCCTGCTCCAGCAGCTCAGCCCGGCGGATGACGCCGAGGATGACTTCCATCTCGCCTTCGCTCAGGGCCTGGCTCTTGCGCTGCTTGTCTGTGCGGAACGTGTGAACTGACCAACCCGTCTGCAGCCTGGAAACGCAATCACAGACTGTGTGGGTACAGTTGCCGACATCTTCACTTACAAACCAAGATCAACAAAACCAGCAGGAACATCCACAACTGTTTTTTTTTCTATTTTTCTGCTACCTGAAAATAACACAAAAAATACCCCATTTAAAATGCCCACAGAGGGTATTTACTCTTTTACTTTATTTTGTGCATTTTTACTTAATCATTGCTTGAGCCACATTGAGCATTCATGAATGCAGAAATAAATGCAATCAACTAACCATTATTCAGACAAAAACAGATTTAAATCAACTAGAAATATAAATTATAAATGAATTTAAACAGAATACAGCTTTGTAAAAACTCAAAGCCTATGTGTTTAATACTAATACAATGATAATGTACTGAAATATTTATATATTCTGCAATAAGTTCCATAAATGTGATTTTTTCCAGTTATATTACATTGTCCAAATGTTCTAAGCAGACCCAAAGCAATATTTGCATGTTTTTCTGCAATGGAACAGCATTTGGTCTGGTGCAGATGGGTTGAATTGCTTAAAGTTGACTTTCACTTAAAGAAGTTAATTGGATCTTGAAGAGATTTTAATTGGTTTAATTAGGTGAATGGATTAATCTTTTTTAAATTAAAGCTTCCATGTAAAGGAGCGTGACAAAGTTGACTCATTCATGGAAAAACTGCCTTTTCACAGTTCGTAATAACCATGTAATCTGAAATGGGGTTGTACTCCATGTTGTCAACTTAGGCCATCTGAAACAAAATCTGCAGGTGTTGGAAGGCTAAACGAGGCGAAACTGAAGGGTGCCTGCTCATTAAGATAACATGAACCAGTTGTGTCTGTCCTGGTAAAACATGCATGCCAACCTCACAGAAGACAGTTAACCTCAGTCGCTGATACTTACTTGGCTCTGAGAGCAAGCTGTCTGTCATTGGGACAGACCCACTGGTCCGTTCCATTGCTAAATATAGCTTCTGTCATCTCGGATGAGAACAGGGCTTCAGGGAGGCCTATAAAGAGAGAAATGAAGATGGGAGGCCTAGGATGTAGAAAATTGTAAAAACTATTTCTCACAGTTTCTTTTACTGCCCATGCCAACCAAAATATTTCATCACTGTTTCTCAACCACACCCTGGAACTGAAACCTCCTCATAAACTCCACAGTATTAATGCAGCTGCATATGCTTTGTACATTAGGTATTACAGTATCTAGCAGAAACTCCATAGAATTGCCTGCAATCACAAAACTACCTACTACATAATAACAGCTATGTGATCCATCAGTGATGAGTAAAAAAAAATGAAAAGAATTGAAAAGTATTGCTTCTGATTTAGCATTTATATGGCCTATGAGAACTTAAGGATATGAGAGCAATAGGAACCCATCAGAAAATCTTTCTTTGAAGTTTAATTTACAGCTTTTCAGTTCAGGAGGGATATCCAGTGTTTATTAATGAAACCCCAAACATATACAATCAGGGTTCATGTGACGCTTTGTCATTTTAAATTAAACTTTTATCTTGAAAGGGAATTTTGACATTTGGACCAGAATACTCGTGTCTAAACTGGGACACATCTCCCTTTTTATCTACATATAATAGGAATATGAACATTTCTTTTTAACGGATTTGAAATCCTGTGACATTTAAATAAGTTAACCGCAAAACAAAGTTCCAAAACCTTTACCAGAAATTTGTACAGGAACGAACATGTCTTATTTTAGTTTCTAAAGAAGTATTATTGAAATCTATTCCAGCGACTAGCTTACTGTATATATTTTCCCCACCAAAAAATAAATAAATACCCTATTTTTGTCTAGGCTTTCTCCTTTGCATCAAACCATTCGTTTCTCCCCTGCATGTGAATGGCTTTCTGTCCATCAAGCTCAGTCTCGGCTCCCCTCATTCCCCCTCCCTTAGGCTTGAACAGGCGCTCAGCAGACTAAACAAAAGAGCTAATTAAAAAATAAACCTGCATGCTTCTCTGGTGAAAGCTAGAATAAAAATACCCGTGTTTCCTGGTGACAGCCTGCATACATCCTGAAGCCTGAGGCAACACACAGCTTGTGGAACTGACTAATGTGAGCAGCTGCCACCTTTACTACAGGTAGAATCAGCAGCAACTTTTGTCGGTAAAAATAAAGAAGCCTGCCAGTGTTAAGCTTTTTGAGCTTTTGGACAAAGATGAACCCTTGTTATACTTGAAAGCTCAGGCAAGGCAAAATTAAATTATTCTCGAGGGGGACTCAATGTAAGCATGGTTTAAACCAGCCTTTAAGATAGCTGTGCTTTATTGTATAAAGCTCACTTCACAAATGAACTGAACTGACAGATCTGATGTTACAGTCTTGTTGATCTGATACAATGCCCCCTGAAACAGAAAGGGCTATTGCGTATGGAGGCTAGGGAGTAAGGACATGCTTGTTAGAACTGGCAATGTCTCAGATGTAATGTGGACTTGACATCATAGCAGACTGTGCATCAGTTCCTAAAAAGGAAGAAGCTTGAATCTTTATTGAAAAAAGCAGCAGTTTTTAGAGAAACTATGTTATAGCTATATATTGTATTATAAGTACAGAGAAAGGAGCATGGGTGAGGACAGCAGGAATAAGGGTAGGATGTGGACTATTTAAGAACTACTACCTCTGTTAGAACTCTGATTAAACATGTAGTAGTTTATTTTTATTCTATTTTACCAGTAATGTTTAGCATTCGAGTGAAAGAGCAGAATCGGTTCTGAATAGTTGCATGGCCTTGGCAAACAAAAATCAGGACAGTGTGACCTCAACCCTTTGAGGAACATGCTTCCTACACAACAATACAGCTATCTGGAGGGTCATCGTGCTTTGTATGGCCTGGAATCAGCATATAAACATCTTATTAATTAATCCTAATCAAAACTACCTCAAAAAGGTCTACTATATTTCAGGCCTGAACGGTATACCAAATGAAGGCAATGCACCTGGTTTCAACACCTCGTAAAGATGTCCAACTTAAAACATTTCTAAAACCATCAGAAGAAGATTAAAGTGCTGCATATCTGAAATACAGTAACATGAGGGAAAAAATGAAGGCCTCATGTTCTGTGCAGAGACCAGCTGCGGCTGATCGCTCTCACGTTATCACAAAACTGGCTATGACAATGGGATCACATCACCAGTCTTTGGAGGGCAAGAGAAAACCCACAGTTGAGATCCCATTCAATAGTTAAAACCTGAAAGCGCTAAAATGAGATCAGAATTTCCAGCCTCTCTTGGTTGATGTAAACTCAGTTCAAAGTCACCTGTGCACAAACGTCTCAGCCTGCTATGTAACGTATGAGGGTAGACAGTTCAGCAAAAGTATGCGATTGCAAATGTTCAATTACCTTTGCTCTTCATTGCAAATCACCAGCTCTGAACAATGTTAGAAGGCTCACTTGTATAGCAATACAGCAGAGCAATGCGGTATCATTCTATAACTTGAGTCCTTTCTTGGTAGATACAGTACCTGGCAGTTACCATCAGCTATGATTACATTGACAGTGTTTACCTTGCATAAAAGCATCTGCTAAATTAATAAAACAAACTATACTTGTGTTTATGTAGCCCAGTTTAGGTCTGTGGCATGGAAGAGCATTTGAAATGCATTTTGTATAGGTACCGATTAGCATTTATATTTAGTTTTGGTAGCGAATGCATCACATTTGCAAATTCTTTTCTAAAAAAAAACATTGCATAATTTGCATTTTAATACATCTGACCCCATGTCTGACCGGTGAAATGCTCTATTATATCTGTGAATAGATTGTATCAGGATTCAAATTTTCAGTACATTAAAAGAGCAAAATTTAGCAAATTATTAATTTTTTGTCACAGTTATGATGTGACAGACTCTCTTTCTATCCTTCTGCATGCTACTGTTCAAAACTGCTGACACTACTCAGAGACTCATTTTACTGAAAATCAGATAGAAGCATAAAATGACATCTACCAGAGAAAATAACAGTTTTTTGTATGGTAATATCCTGAACTTAACTGGAAACACTAGCTTTTTCACTAGAACAGAACCCAGAGAGAAGCTGGAGCATTTCACAACATTACAAAATAAAGTACAAAGTTATAACAGTTATATAGGGAAGAACCGTAATGCGTTAATAAATTAACAGGTTGAAGAATATAATTTGGAAAATGTAACTGTGTCCAAATGTCATGTAGGTAGAGCTACAAGGTGTCTTATTAGTCATGCTTAAGCAGCTATTACAAAATCTCTACAGCAACAAGATGTCCTCTGTGTAGATCTTCTGATGGAAAAGCTAATTGACAGTAGGTAAAGAACAGAACATCCTCATGTTCTCTGAAAACTGAGTTTTATGGAGCAGGATTTCTGCTTCGAATCAATAAAATCCCATTATCTCAAATAGCAGTGATCAAAAGGAGAATGAAGCTAAAAGCCACCTACACCCTGCAGCAGACGTTCTTGTTTAGATGCAGTAATGTGCCTGGCCTGTAAATATACACTTAGCTTCGAAAAAACAGCTGCCACAGCCGCACTCCTCAGTGAATCATTCCAGGAATCCATGCTGAATCCCTCGCTCCCTGTCCCCTGACATGCAGAGGATAGCTGTTCCTCCTGCAGAGCACTGATCTGAAGGCTGTACAGCGTATGTGCACGAATACAACATTCAGAAACACTGCCAAAAGATAATAGACACCACATTTCAGGAGCTCAGACCTAGAAATACACCGCCAAAGCTACTAGGTAGTAATGCTCAAGACTTTTCCCCAAGACAGAATTCTGATCTCAATACAAGTTAAGTATCAATAGGGTTTTTTGGGGGGGATTTTTAACCATTATCTCCTAGACCCTCAAAGCCATATGATGCAAAGGCTAGTGAGCACATCCAGTGAGCCAAAAGACCAGAGGTTATTTAACATCTTTACAGCTCAGCAGGGTTGTAGGGAGTAAAGTATTATACCAAATCAGCCTGGTTCCAAAAACACACAGTGATTTACAGAATGGGTTTAAAGCAGAGGTGTAAAGGTCACTTCCTGAATTGAATAAAGCCATAAGACTCTTCTTAATAAAACTTAATAAGACTCTTCTCAATAAAACAATTAACCCGATTATTTTCTTTTTTCCAGGGATAAATATTTTTAAAAGATTTTAAAAACCTTTTACAGCTAAGTACATAAAATACTCACTTCATTAAAGGTACAGTTCCTTATACATCTAAGAGCCAAGTAACAAGTATTAAAATTATGCCATTAATTAAATTAATGAATTGGACTTACTACCTGAGAGCTCAGGTTGGATTAAGAACCAGGATATACTAGGTCCTCCAGGAACTGCTTTGAGCAGTGTAAAACCTTGCATTTACTTGTAAATTACAAAGTGTAATATGAGAGAGGTCTGTGACTCCTAATTAACGCAGGCCTATTTCCTCTTTAAGAGTCACATCTTCCTGAATCTTGATAAATAGGGTGAACTGGTGTGTGAAGTTCAAGACATGCTGATCTGAACGTTTAGGGATCTCTAAGGCCGTGACACTAAACGCCCATATGTGCCCTCAACACACACTTTCCCTAAACTAGTTCCCACTCTCACACCTCCTCCTACCCATCTTCTTCTATTTACAACAGTGGCTTTGTGCTCTTCACATTTTTTTATCTGCACATTAAAAGTATATTGTTAATTTTTCCTGCTTGCTTAAAAAAAAAAAACATTTAATCAGCAGGATTAAGGGCAAAATCAGGAAGATGGCATGGCAACAGCGTGGCGGCACCGATAGAGAAGGGACAGCAAATACACAAAGCCAAACATAAAGGCTCATTTACATGCAGGTACAATATAACACAGCATTAAGGCTTCACCACTCCAAACACTGAAGAGGCGGATTGTGTTTTAATTATGTACCCACAGAAAAATGAAACGGTCAATGGGTTACACACTGTTTCACCACTCATCTTAACGTACAAATCACAGAAATAAACAACGAGGCATGTTCATTTTATGACGTGAAGGGAATGAAACATGATAGGCAAAGCTATCAGTCCAGAAACACCATTAAAATATCTGACCAAGCCCAGGGAACACCAGAAGCAGAGGAGCAGAATCTGTTGCAGTATAGTCAGGATATAAAACCATCATTCAGTCAAATGCAATGAGGCAGTCCCATGAAAGATAAGACAAAATGAGAAAAGTGTTCTCATAAGTGTCAAATTGAGAAATTGGGTGTTAACAGCATCAAAGAAAACCCCTCAAACTGAAAGGAAATGGAAAGAGCAGCTTTAAATACAGTATCACTTTGTACTAAAGCAAAAAAAAAACTGAATGAAGTACAGACCTTTATTCAGAAACAGACAGTCCCTGTGGGATTTAATGGTTAGAAGCAGGAGCATAGCAAAGGACCAGTTTCTTCTCACCCAAATGTGTCAATTTGTACCCATGCAACTGATTTTTATATATACACCACATACCTGTATATCTTTATAGCACTACCTTGGTGTTTTAATTAGACCTGTTGAACTCTAGTTTTGCACACTGCTGTCTTTATTAACCAACACCCCTTCGACAAGTGACAGCATTAACCACACAGAATTCAAGAGCCAGACTTACTCTTGCAATTGGTGAGGTTTATTTAAGCAATTCCTACACGTAGATGTAATTAGTAGAGAATGCAGATGTCGGTCTGTCAGCCATTCTGAAAGAAGTAATTAATAATCCCCTCTTTTACAGATTATATTTTGTCGATATTCAGAGGCTTAAGCTAATATAAATGCTCTGTTGCCTGACAATCTCTAAGGAAGCAACTAAAGTACTATAATATTTGAATCTAGCAATAGCAAACACAGTACAATGCTAAAGAGAAAGCTTACAGAGTAAGGCGTGCATTTGTATAACTGAGGTTATAAATTACAAAGCACATAAAAAATGGGGTTTATTGCTCATACAAGATCATGTCACTGGTGTTAACAGCATCAGCAGTGCTCTGATAGGAGCGAGGGGAAGGATGGGTCTTGTAAAAGCTGGTGTTCATCAACATGAGGTGTCTGCTGTCAGAGATCCCCGACACCAAGTGTTTTAATGGCTATGACTTGCACAGGGACAGACGTCACACCCAAGTGCTCCAGAACCAATGTGAAGCCAGATGCTCTGCATTACAGACAAGACACGAGTGTCCTCCCCCGTCACAGTCGAGCCGATGGCTTCCAGGGCACCAGCCATGCGCTTGCAGCCATAAGAAAGTGTTTCATGAAAATCACATCATATGCACAAATGTGAACTTGACAAGGTAACCGCACTGCAAAACTAAATCACACCAAGTTTATTACATGTCTGGACAGAAAGATTTCAGATTGTGGATGCATTTTTAGGACCTTCTAAATGTTTTAAGCATCTCATAGTTATACCAGAAATG